AACTGGGGGCAGAACTGGCAATCCAACGCGGTCCTCACGGGCCAGGCGCTGTCCTTCAGGGTGACCGGAAGCGACCGGAGGACTTCGACCTCGTGGAACGTTGTTCCAGCCAACTGGCAGTTTGGGCAGACGTTCGCCGGTAAAAACTTCAGGGTTTGATGGGGGGCGAGAGGGGCGTGACTTTGGTTGTTTTTTTGGGTGATTAAGAGGGTTTGGAGGGGTGATTAGGAGGTTATTAATAGGTGTGATCAGCGGCTGAAGTGGCTGCAGTAAAGATGAAGAGATCTTGTGGCCCGCAGTCGCTCAAATATAGTAACTAAGGTGATAGTTATTATTATTACTATTACTATTACTGCTGTGGTAAATTGTGAGGGGAGGGGGTTGCTTGCAATACAAAAGGGCTTGTTTGCTTTTGGTTAATTTGTCTTTAACTATACCATTTCTGTGTAAAGTGAGCGTGCTTGTTTGATTGTAACCCTTTTTATCTGTTTCTTTCCGTCGTGAAAAGTGAAAGATTGAAAACGACTGGTTTGGGTCAAAAGAGTCAAGCTATAAGAATCAACAAAGGCTTATGATCCGTATTCAAACGACAAAAAAGTCTTGCGCTAAGGCCTTCAACGTTTAAACGTGTAGAAGTGGGATTTCTCTTGCCACTCTTCTGAACTTGACGTTACGAGGCAAAAAGCAAACACTTGTATAGGTTATAATACCAAAGTTGGCCTAAATAGTGCCATCTCTTAACCATTTTAGGTTAAAAAGTAGCACCGGCACGAAAACACCTTTCGGACAAGAAGCAAATTTTAAGTAAAAAAAAATTAAGAGATTTATATATATATATATATATATATATATATATATATTGTTTGAATTGTTCATATTTTCTGATTTAACCTTTCAAGTATTAAAATTTGTTGAAAGAACTTCTCTCTCCCTCCCTTCCCACTATTTTTTTCCCTCATTCTTTTTGTCAATCTCTTTCATTCTTTTTTCCCCAATCTTCACCATTCTCTCTCCTTTAGAGAATACAAGAAGAAGAGATGAATGAAGTTAAGATTGTGGTGGAATGTTTAATTTTGGGTGTTGCGAGTGGGTGAAGCAAGTAGAAAGAGAGAGAAAGGAAGAGAGGAGAAGAAGGAAGAGGGAATGGGAGAGATGGTGGAGATTTGGAGTAAAAAAAATTTAGAAGAGATGAAAAAAAATTAGAAAGTAAGTGTGCTAATTCAAGAGATAAGGTAGGAGATAGAGGAAGGAGGGAAGGCAAGGATATAGCAAGAACAAGGGAATGAAAAAAATGGTGGGAAGGAGGAGGAAAAAGATAGTGGAAAAAGAAGGTTTTTTTATTTACAAATTTTAGAAATTTAGTCAAAGGAGATGGGTTAATTTGAAAATCGTCAGAGATTGATTCATCTATATATATAATTTCTTTAATTTTTTGCTATAAAATAACTCTGTGACGATCAGAAAAGCCTATTTGCCATCAATTTGTCGTGTTTTAGATCAAATTATCGTTCGATGTCATTTTTTTGTCTGTCACTATTATCCAAGTTTATTATTATAGTTGCTATATTTGTCATGGCTACTTCAATGGTGAAGTAGCCCAAAGGCCCAAACATGTTCAACGTTAATGCAAGTTATGCAATGGGCCACAGCTTTATTAAACTATGCCTGCACTAATGCAAGTAAGGAGCCAGTACCAGTACGGTAGTACTACTCACGAGTAGTGATCCAAAACATACTTGGTTCCATTAATAAGGGAGGTTCCTGGGCCCCTCTTAGAAGTTTCGCATATGGGCCTTACTAGTTTCGTGAGGAAAGCCCCTCTTAGAAGTTTCGCATATGGGCCTTACTAGTTTCGTGAGGAAAGCCCCTCTTAGAAGTTTCGCATATGGGCCTTACTAGTTTCGTGAGGAAAAAATGCGATACCTTCCCCTATATAGTTATACATACACTATATCAGATGCCACCAATAACTTTTCTTCAATTTACCCAAGATAAAGTACCTACCGTACTAAAGAATGATATAATTTTGGATCAGCACAAATACGAGTATTTGGACATTAGTATACTGAATGTTACCAAAAGCAGAGCAAATCAAACACAAATAAGACTGTAATATATATATATATATATATATATATATATATATATATATATATATATATATATATTGTTTGAATTGTTCATATTTTCTGATTTAACCTTTCAAGTATTAAAATTTGTTGAAAGAACTTCTCTCTCCCTCCCTTCCCACTATTTTTTTCCCTCATTCTTTTTGTCAATCTCTTTCATTCTTTTTTCCCCAATCTTCACCATTCTCTCTCCTTTAGAGAATACAAGAAGAAGAGATGAATGAAGTTAAGATTGTGGTGGAATGTTTAATTTTGGGTGTTGCGAGTGGGTGAAGCAAGTAGAAAGAGAGAGAAAGGAAGAGAGGAGAAGAAGGAAGAGGGAATGGGAGAGATGGTGGAGATTTGGAGTAAAAAAAATTTAGAAGAGATGAAAAAAAATTAGAAAGTAAGTGTGCTAATTCAAGAGATAAGGTAGGAGATAGAGGAAGGAGGGAAGGCAAGGATATAGCAAGAACAAGGGAATGAAAAAAATGGTGGGAAGGAGGAGGAAAAAGATAGTGGAAAAAGAAGGTTTTTTTATTTACAAATTTTAGAAATTTAGTCAAAGGAGATGGGTTAATTTGAAAATCGTCAGAGATTGATTCATCTATATATATAATTTCTTTAATTTTTTGCTATAAAATAACTCTGTGACGATCAGAAAAGCCTATTTGCCATCAATTTGTCGTGTTTTAGATCAAATTATCGTTCGATGTCATTTTTTTGTCTGTCACTATTATCCAAGTTTATTATTATAGTTGCTATATTTGTCATGGCTACTTCAATGGTGAAGTAGCCCAAAGGCCCAAACATGTTCAACGTTAATGCAAGTTATGCAATGGGCCACAGCTTTATTAAACTATGCCTGCACTAATGCAAGTAAGGAGCCAGTACCAGTACGGTAGTACTACTCACGAGTAGTGATCCAAAACATACTTGGTTCCATTAATAAGGGAGGTTCCTGGGCCCCTCTTAGAAGTTTCGCATATGGGCCTTACTAGTTTCGTGAGGAAAGCCCCTCTTAGAAGTTTCGCATATGGGCCTTACTAGTTTCGTGAGGAAAAAATGCGATACCTTCCCCTATATAGTTATACATACACTATATCAGATGCCACCAATAACTTTTCTTCAATTTACCCAAGATAAAGTACCTACCGTACTAAAGAATGATATAATTTTGGATCAGCACAAATACGAGTATTTGGACATTAGTATACTGAATGTTACCAAAAGCAGAGCAAATCAAACACAAATAAGACTGTAATATTGATACGAATCCTTGAAATTTGACCCTACAGCTATTCATGATTACGAGGAAAATGGTCGAGCGTGGCAGACGTATAACCATCTACTTAGTGGGAGCCATTCTGATTAAGCTAGATTTCGACTGCTGATTTCACTTCTTACTCAAGGTTTTGTTCAATTAATTTATAAATAACAATCATGCTGGTCAATAATTGACATTTCTTAACCTGTCGTGCCTAATAATTAAAGGAGCAATGATGGTGGCAGGATACTAACTGCAACGGCGAGGGACACATGGGCCTGTAGATTTTCATTAGGTTTCTCAAGAGTCATAATGGTTGTCAAACGTGCACCAACTCTTCAAGAGTTGGGCAGGAATTAAGTTGGATGTAGGAGGATCATAATAATTCATGCTCCTAACACAAAGTATTAACCTGTGACTCCTGAAATTTAGCCGCAAACAATTGCACATACATAATTATATATAGTGGTAGATTAAGGGTAGTTAAATTGATCTCATACACTAACGATACGATACTAAAATCGAAAACAAGGTAACACATCTGAACTTTCAAGGGAAATATTTTTGTAGCCTAAAGAAGAAACTAATGAAATTTTCATTAGTGTCAGTTGACTTGCTATTAATATGTACAGCTACACCCTGGCCATTAAAACACAACTGCAACAAGTAAACATAAACATTTACTCACAGGTGTATTCAACCAATTCAGTTCCCTCTCAATTTTAAATGCCTAAAGTGAGTAAACCAAAGAGTGTTGCTAAAATCAGTTAGTTACTACTTTTTAATTAATTAAGCAATTCAGTGATAAATCACACTGCATGCACAACGGTTTTGAGAGCAGCAAACAAACTGATTATTGTTGTGTATTCATATAAAACTTAATACTGATAATAGCCAGCTATTTTTATCTAACCAAACTGCTTTCTGTGCTGAAGGCTTTCAATTTTAAATGCTGTCTTTATACTTCAAATAGGAATGAGAAAACAATTGAAGATTACTTTGGCGTTTTAAACTTAGTCCCATCGTTGGTAAAATGTTCTAAATGGGTGCCCCTCTCGAGCCTTTAATTTTTGTAGGCGAACACCCTGAAGCAGCTTTTCATAAAGTTTTCCGGTTCTCATCATTAAGTTTCCCAAACCCTATTAGTTTTCATTGTTCAAAGTGCACCTGACCTTCCATTAGAATGATGAGTCAGCTTACAAAGAAAAAGAAAGGAATAAAATACTTACCTTTTATTAATGAAATTCCAAAAGTTCAGCCTTACTCGTGCACTCTTCGAGTCCGAGGTCCAGAGTTTCTGGCTCAATTGATTGGAACGATATAATGATAATTCACATCATTCTCACCCGCAATATGCTGGAAATTGCCCTCGACCGTCCCTTTGACCTGATAATAAGATTTCCAAATATGATCAACTTTTCAATGATAAATATAATAACCGAGCACAATTTAGTTATAAAAGTTCGAATGGGACGTCTCAGTCACATTCAGAATGCACGTTGATGATCTAAAATATTTCTTCAAAGCAAATCGCATTAGCTTATCACTGTGACATAAGATTGCCTCGGTTGCATGAACCAGCTCAAAATTTCAAAGATGTATGTGAAGAAAACTATATTGGCTTCCTGAAAGCATCTTGGAGGAATCTTGAATCATTTAGTTATAACAGCACACATCCCATTTCTCTGCTTCTGCCTTCAGAGACAACCTACACACGAAGACTTTCTGCTTTCTCCTTTTGGTGTTCAAGATTTGTACATAGAGATTCTAATTTGTATTTAACTTATGACCCTGAAGAGAACACCTAATATGCAGTGGACTGCATATGTTTCAATTTCAAAGAATAAAAGAATATAATACTCTGAATGTTAAAACTTATGATTTCATTTGACAAATAAAAAGGTGATTTGCAGGTGGCGCATAAAAATATTGATATACATTGCACTGCTTTCAGCACGCAGTTATCCATGGCCCGTCATGGACAATTGGGATATGTATGGATAGTAATATATATGCCATTTTCAGATGTAAACCTATCTCATTTGTGAAGACTCAAGCAATCATATTTTAGTAGCTTAAGAACTTCTGCATAGTGATTTAATTTTGTTAAAAGTATAGCCCCGCTGCAGAGATTACCTATTGTTTTTTTAATGAAAATCAAACATATATAAGAGCATGCATGTAGGGATTTGGTCAGACTTGAAATTTATTACTGTTTTGATCCCCCCCCCCCCCCCCCCCCCCAAAAAAAAAAAAAAAAAGATTTCACTAAATCTTGTTGATCAATGATTATATAACTTATAGCTATAAAATGACACTAAGTATATATGATACCGATTTTGCGTAAATGCGTCAATTCATCATCCTCTTTCATCAATTCTTATGTCTAGTGCATGCATGTGTAGTAATAACTCACAATAATTACTAGATTGTTTGCCTTGATGATTTCTTTGAAGAAAATTAATTGAGGTGATGGGATCATGATACAACCAGGCCACTACTAAGTGCGGCAGTCAAGAGAAGTGGTTGTTGTTGCTATAGGGGTGAAGAGAACTAGAGATGGGCTTAAAAGAACTTGATTGGAATTAATTAAAAACGATACTACAGTGGTTAACTTATTGGATGAGATGACTCTTAACAGAACTATGTAAAAATGGGATTCATCTAGCCGACCCCAAGAAACATGAGATAAAGGCTTGGTTGTTGTTTTATATTGACAATTTCTTTGAACTAATAATTACTCTCCAGAGACGGTGCATGTCAACATTTAAATTGTGAAAACGGAAGTCGGGTGTGGGGGCCACGAGAGTTCACGAGCTGGGCATTGTTTCCGCGTGAAGAGCTGGCCACGAATCCTGATTGCCTGCGGGAGAAAAGCGTGAAGCAAAACCGAAACCGAAGGCCCACCCGATTAACCAACAGGCTATAAATAGCTTGTTGTTTTCCTAGGGTTGTGTGCATGCGAAGGAGGGGATTTCGGCTTCTTTTTCTTTTTCTTTTCTTTGGCGGCTGCGCAGGTGTGTGCAGGAGGCGGCTTTGTTTCTTGGAGAAAAACGCAGCAAAGAGAAAGAGAAGAATAGGGATTTGTGTAGCTTTGGTGAGAGTATTTGTGTGAGAGAGAGATAATTGTGTGAGGGTTTAGATTGAGTGATTGTAAACCCTAGTTGTATTATCTCTCCCTCTAATAGTAGATCTCCCCCTCCTTGCCCCGTGGACGTAGGCAGTTTGCCGAACCACGTAAAATTGATTGTTTGAGTTTGTGGCCATTGTAATAGTTTTTAGGATCCCTCGACAGGTCAGTCCTAGAACTGATGAGAGGAAGAGCCGATATCTCACTTGGTTGAGATATCCGCTTCAGATTCTTGTTTCCTTGGTGAGACGGGAATTCTTATCGATCTTTCTCTCTTATTGTGCACCAGAAACTCTGCCGAAATTTTCGCTGCGCACAACAAGTGGTATTAGAGCCCAGATTCCAGATCTAGGGTTTGGTTAGAGGAGTAGATCAATTTGGAGGCTCGTTTAGGGCTTCGTTGGTGATAAAGGTGGGATCTTTTGGTAAAGACTCTATCTTTTCAGTTTTGGATCTATTCTTTGTTCGTTAGTGCGTAAGATGTCGGGAAAAGAAGGTGCTTCGGGTGTCGAGGGTGGTAGATGCGAGGTTTTGGATGCGCTGAACGCGCAGAATTTGGAGGATACCTTGGAGTTAGATGGCAAGCCAGATGAGATTGAAGAGAAGGTTTGGAAAAAGATGAATCGAACGGCGTGTGGTGTGATTAGGTCTTGTTTGACTCAAGATCTAAAATATGATGTGATGAATGAGACTTCTGCGAAGAAGATTTGGGAGATTCTCGAAAGCAAGTATTTGACCAAGAGTGTGGAAAATCGCTTGCATTTGAAGAGGAGACTTTATCGTTTCCAGTTGAAGAAGGGAACCTCCATTAGAGATCACATGAACCACTACACAAAGCTTCTTACGGATTTGGCGAATGTGGATGTCAAGATTGAAGATGAGGACAAGGCGTTGCTGTTGTTGAGTTCCTTGCCCGACGAGGAATATGAGACCTTCGTCCTTACTCTAATTAATGGGAAGGCATCTCTTTCGTATAGTGAGGTCACTGCTGCATTGGTGAATTATCAGCTTCGGAAGAAGGATAAGGAGAATTCGACTGAGTCGGTAGCAGAGGCGTTGGTCGCAAGAGGGAAGAATCCGAACCGAAAGAATTAGAAGTCACAGTCTAGAGTAGGAAAAGATCAGTGTGCTTGGTGCAAGGAGACTGGTCATTGGAAGAAAGACTGCCCAAAGCTCGACGAATGGATGAAGAATAAGCAGAAGGGAAAAGGGAAGCAACCATCATCAGAAGCAAACATCGTATCGGATGGTAATAATTCTGACTCTTCTATTTATTCGCTTTCTATCAGTCCTACAGATAGCTATTCGGAGGAATCTGAATGGATGTTGGATAGTGGTGCGACCTATCATGTGTGCCCTAGAAGGGAATGGTTCTCCAGTTTTGAGAAGCTGGTGGATAGTGGTGTGGTGTACATGGCTGATAACCGTGCATGCCAGATCCTTAGGATAGGAAGAATTCGCATAAAGGTGTTTGACGGGACTGTTAGAGAGTTAAATGATGTGAGATATGTTCCTTCTTTGAGGAAGAACTTGATCTCGATTGGAGCTTTGGTTGGAGAGGGTCTGAAGGTTCGTGTTGAGGACATGGTTCTTGAGATTGCGAGAGACTCTCGTATTTTTATGAAGGGCGTCAGGAGAAATAACCTGTATTACTTGACTGGAGGTATAGTGGCAGGTGGAGAGCTGACGACTTCTGTTGATTCGACTAGACTGCGGCATTTGGGGCTTGGCCATTCCAGTATTGATTCCTCGCATAGATTGAAAGAGGGTGTAAAGACCTGCAGTTTGAAGTCCAGTGAACATGTTGATGTGAGCAAGAAGACCGAGGTGAAGTGTGGCACCTCTATTCACCGTGCTAAGGGTCGTTCTGGAGGAGTTCACGTGGATGTTTGGGGGCCTTCCAAGGGGGCATCATTGGGAGGTAATAGGCGTTTGGTTTCCTTTGTTGGTGGCTGTTCTAGGCGTGTTTGGGTTACAACCAAATCCCCTTTGGAGAAAGTCCTAGTAGTATCCAACAAATTGAAGAAGTGTGTAATAGACAGAAAGGTGAAGGTACTCCATTCTGGTGGGAGGTACAAGATGGACCTATTTCTGTATTGGAGCCGAGCTCACGGCATTTCGAGACACTTCGTTGGAAAGGAAATCTTGGGGCAACTAGATAGGGTGGCAAATTTGGAGAACCGTGCCTTGCTGGAGGAGGAACGGTGTTGGTGGTCGAGCAATGGTCTGCAGAAGAGTTTCTGGACAGAGGCTTCGACATATTTGGGTCATCCTATTAAAGAGTTGTCAACTGCTGTGATTGGAGGTAAAACTCCATTGGAAGATAGGTCTGGTAGTGTCACTTTGTATGAGGCTTCGATGAGGGAGCCGATTGACTCTCAGCAGGTGGAGAGTTTTGGACAGACCTTAGAGGTATCGCAGCGGGTGAAGACTGATGCTACTCCACATTGGGTGGGGATTTTCCCACATACTCCAGGTCATTCTGCATTGGTTGGGATTCTAGCTGAGGTGACACAACGTGGAAGTCATTTGGATTCGGATGCAGATGATGAGTTGAAATTTGATTCGAGTGCAGCTGACAGACATAGTTTGGATACGGCCATTGGTTCGCCTCAGGTGGAGGTGTTTGAGGCCATTGGAGGTGCTATCAGCCGCAGAGTTGATGATATTGGAGAAGGGTTGCAAACTCTTCAATTGGTTTGAGGTCGTTCGCGGCCATTTGGGTGAACTACGTTCGGCTTCATTCCTTGGGCAAAAGGATACGTAGGTAGTCTTTCAGATGCAGCCGGGTTTGGATTTTGATGGGGTGAGATCGATTTGGTGAGTTGATACCGATATTTGGAGAGTGTTTGCATTCTCATTTGGGTTCTCGACTTGTTATGGATTGAGTCTGTTATCGTGAATTATTTCACGGTGTACTGGACACAACAAGTGAGACATTTGGTTTGGTCGGTGTCGGCTCAGTTTTGGGAAAACTTCGCCGATGTGGAGAATTGTGAACACGAAAGTCGGGTGTGGGGGCCACGAGAGTTCACGAGCTGGGCATTGTTTCCGCGTGAAGAGCTGGCCACGAATCCTGATTGCCTGCGGGAGAAAAGCGTGAAGCAAAACCGAAACCGAAGGCCCACCCGATTAACCAACAGGCTATAAATAGCTTGTTGTTTTCCTAGGGTTGTGTGCATGCGAAGGAGGGGATTTCGGCTTCTTTTTCTTTTTCTTTTCTTTGGCGGCTGCGCAGGTGTGTGCAGGAGGCGGCTTTGTTTCTTGGAGAAAAACGCAGCAAAGAGAAAGAGAAGAATAGGGATTTGTGTAGCTTTGGTGAGAGTATTTGTGTGAGAGAGAGATAATTGTGTGAGGGTTTAGATTGAGTGATTGTAAACCCTAGTTGTATTATCTCTCCCTCTAATAGTAGATCTCCCCCTCCTTGCCCCGTGGACGTAGGCAGTTTGCCGAACCACGTAAAATTGATTGTTTGAGTTTGTGGCCATTGTAATAGCTTTAGGATCCCTCGACAGGTCAGTCCTAGAACTGATGAGAGGAAGAGCCGATATCTCACTTGGTTGAGATATCCGCTTCAGATTCTTGTTTCCTTGGTGAGACGGGAATTCTTATCGATCTTTCTCTCTTATTGTGCACCAGAAACTCTGCCGAAATTTCCGCTGCGCACAACAAGGACCACACCATTAAGATATGGCATAGAGGGGCACGGATTCACCTATTGGGACTTCCATAATGAGATAGACCACTTCAAGCTGGCCACATGATTACACCATCAAGGGAACCATTAGATTTTGAAATTTTACCTCCAATTTTAATACCGAAAATCTTACAACCTTGATCAGTTTTTTTTTATATTCTACCGCATACTTTATGTCACAAAATGAGGTTTAGATTACTTCATGTAGGCCACCATTTTGGTGCCAAACAATCTCCATGGGACTCCAAAATGTATTGGGCCTGTTGTCAAACCATTTTCGAATAATCGAAACCCCTAACCAAGCACAGACAGACCTAAACCCAGCTTACATATTCTCCGAAATGAATGAAACTGGGATTTACAAGCACATAAACGACAAACCCCAACTTCAATTTTATTACAGCCAGAACCCGATTTCACAAAACTAATTCTCAAACTATACCTTCATTTGTTATAAATCAATATTATTTTAATCACATAAACGATTGTAGAGTCATTCTATACATTAAAAGCTTCTGATGCACGTAAAAGCCCTAAATCAATTTGAACAGTAAATACCTGCACGAATCAGGATTTCCAAGGCGCGAAACCCTAAGAACGAGAATTACGTAAGGAAATTGACAAAATTTACATCGCAAATCAAATCACGAGCAAGTAGATGCATGAACATTTAGGTTTAAAGGAGAATGAAGACGAGGATCTCACCGGCTAGGGTTTTTTTTTTTAACCTTTCGACTCGATTCTTCCGAAATTAGGGAAACCCTAGATAATTTTGAATTGATGAGGAGGAAAAAATAGAAAGGGGGTAATTTGTTAAGCTTTTATTTGTTTCGGTGAGTTTTAAGTTGAGCTTGGCCCAAGACTAGTGTCCACAAAGAGAAAGAAAAAGACGGGAAATTTTTAAAAAAAAAGAAAAAGAAAAGTGATACTGAAATTAAAAATATATCTATATTTCATCATAAGAATCAATTTTATGTTGACTCAGTGGTTAATCACATGGGAAGACTCTTATTTAATGTTCAGCAAATGTCCAGCCCATGAACATTCATACAAGTAAATTAACACGAATCTAAAGGGCCTGACGGCCTAGCCCAAGGCCTTCGATCTAATTATATGTGTGTATATGTGCTAATCTAACTATAGTCTGCACCTCCTATCTATTAGTTATGGGCGGCTGCAGAGGAAATTAATGAATATGAGTTGGACTAGAATCTAATTTTTGTCTAGTTGAATTAGGTTGATAAGTCAATTTTGGATGTTTCCACGCGGGTCAAACTTTTCCTCGGCACAAACAATGAAAAAACCTATAATAAACTAGCTGTTTTTTGTTTAAAGCAAGTACATAGGCCAAAGACCTATGATATATATTTATACTAATCAATGTGAATAGGTTGAGTACCCAAGAGTCACCCTCACTTAATGGGGTGTTACATCACCATAGTGGGGTGTTAATGGAGGGATAATGAGGGGGAGGCCAAAGGCCTCCCTCATCTCATAATACTCCCCCTTATCCATCCATTACCTTGAGTTTAGCTTATGAACACTTCAGGGTTCGTAAAGCTAATGGGGTGGATACTTCTGGATCCAGAGTAAACTTGTTTGCCTCGTTAAAACCTTAGCTGTGGAAAACCCAGTGGGAAAAAACCATCAGCCTAAGGAAAAAGAGTACAACCCATAGGTTACTCCCCCTGAACCATACAAGCTTCAGGCTTGTAGGTCTTTCAGATGTCTCATCCCTATTCCTTTTACAAGTTTTACAAAAGTACATCTAGGCAGAGCCTTAGTGAACAAGTCAGCTAAATTATTACATGATTGGATCTGCTGTACTTTAACTTGCTCCTCCTCTTGAAGATCGTGCGTCCAGAAAAACTTGGGAGATATGTGCTTCGTCTTGTCACCCTTGATGAAGCCAGACTGAAGTGTTGGAAATTTGTAGTAAAAAGACAATGAAAGAAAATTTGACTTGTATTCCTCTCAAAATCAATTACAATTTGGATTCCGATTACAAAAGAGAGGAGAATGAATTTGATTCTCCCCTTTGTTTAAAACTTGGTTCTTCACAGTGGCGATGGAGTGCCTCCCTCGAATGCTCGCGTCGAGTTTGCTTCTCGTTGACGATCCGAACGTCTTGATTCACTGGAACGATGTCTTCTCCTCACGATTTGACGCTGTGGAGAACTTGCAAAGCAAGTTTGAAACTCTGGACGAGTTGATGACTCTGATCAAGTTCGAAACTCTTGAAAAAGAGTCTTAAAAATAACTCTTAATGAGTTAATAACTCAGAGCGAGTTTTAGAAGAACTTGCAGAGGAAGTTTTGAACTCTGATCGAGTTGATAACTCTGAACGAGTTTTAGAAGAACTTGCAGAGCAAGTTTTGAACTCTGATCGAGTTGATAATTCTGAACGAGTTGATAACTCTGAACGAGTTTGAAACTCTATGGAAGAGTGATTTAACCGAAAGTCGGTTAATAAGCCAAGAGAATGCTCCTGTTGCCGATCTTGAAGATGATCTCTGTTAGAGAATGATTCGATCTCCAAGAAATTCCCCCTTTGCTGCCCAAAAAGGAAGGACCCGAACTCAGTTGAGTTTCCCACTATTTATAGGGGATTAAGGGTAGTAATTGCCCCCTTAATTAGCTCCTCAATGGGCTGAGTGGGGTGTAACTGCCCCCCTCTTAAACAGCTCCCCAAATCGTGGGGAAAACGGTTTGGAAACCGTTCTGTTAAACTCTGCGTTTTAGGCTGAAAACGCAGAGTTGAGCCTATTTTAGGCTGAAAACGCACAGTTGGTGCTGTTTTAGAGATGAACTCTGCGTTTAGGCCTGAAAACGCACAGTTGGGCCTGTTTAAAGGCTGAAAACGCACAGGTCGTGCTGTTTTAGAGATGAACTCTGCGTTTTAGGCTGAAAACGTAGAGTTGGGCCTGTTTAAAGGCTGAAAACGCACAGTTGAGCCTGTTTTAGAGATTAACTCTGCGTTTTGATGTTGAGAACGCAGAGTTGGGCCTGTTTTAGAGATTAACTCTGCGTTTTAATGTTGAAAACGCAGAGTTGAGCCTGTTTTAGGCTGAGAACGCAGAGTTGGGCCTGTTTTAGAGATTAACTCTGCGTTTTGATGTTGAAAACGCAGAGTTGAGCCTGTTTTAGGCTGAAAACGCACAGTTCGTGCTGTTTTAGAGATTAACTCTGCGTTTTGATGTTGAAAAAGCAGAGTTGAGCCTATTTTAGGCTGAAAACGCACAATTCGTGCTGTTTTAGAGATTAACTCTGCGTTTTGAGGTTATAACGCTGGTTCGACCTGTGCGCTTTGACTCTGTAATGCAGAGGCGAACCTTAGGCGGGCTTGGCGAGCTTCAGGCTAAGTCCAATGTTCTGACGAAGTCCAGTCTTGCAGACGGACTTCAGAACATAACTTGCTACGAAGAACATGTCATAACTTTCAAACCGTAAGTCGGAATTGGACGAATTATATATGAAAATCGGCTATCTCGACGAGACGGGGCCATCCGAACCCAGCCGAAGGCTTCGGTTCGCTTCCTCCATTTCGCCAAATTCCTTACGGTTTGAGAGATATCTGCATTCTAATATGAAGAGACCGTCAATTTGTAGTCTCTTTTGCCAGAGCTTTGCACAGATCGTCCTCTTGTAGTCTTCGTCTTGGCTCCTTGAAAATATGAGAGTCGTCAGATTATAACTCCCGATGTTGATTGTGAAGGCTGTTGAATTAGAGCTTTCACTAGTTGTTGTGAAGGTCGTCAGATTGTAACCTTCTACGTGAAAGTCCTCAAATTGTAGCCTTCTGGAAGTCGTCAGATTATAACTTTCATTATCGGTGTTTGATGGGGGATCAACTATCTATTGTGATTTTTAGACAGCCTACACGGTGTGGGGATCAGACCTGTAACCTGCATCTGAATAACCAATTAAGGTGGGAGACCCACCCTTCGGGAAATATAATCCCAGGTCTATAGACCTTTGGAGGTAGCGCAGAAGATGCTTAACTCCATTCCAGTGGCGTTTTGTGGGCGCTGCACTGTATCTGGCTAGTAGGTTAACTGAAAACGCTATATCAGGACGCGTACAGTTAGCCAGATATAGTAGTGCTCCAATGGCACTGAGGTAAGGTACTTCAAGACCTAGCATTTCCTCCCCCTCTTCCAGCGGACGGAAGGGGTCATTCTTTACATCCAATGATCGAACAACTATTGGTGTACTAAGAGGATGACATTTATCCATTCGGAAATTTTTAAGTAATTTCCGTGTATATGTGGATTGGTGTAACAGGATACCACCCTTAAGGTGTTCGATCTGTAAGCCAAGACAATACTTTGTTTTGCCTAGGTCTTTCATTTCAAAAGTATTCTTAAGGCTTTCAGATATCCCAGCGATCTCTGCAGGAGATCCAATGAGATTTAAGTCGTCGACATAGACGGCGACTATAATGAATCCTGTTCCCGATCTTTTTATAAAGATACACGGGCAGACTTTATCATTTGTGAATCCTTGCGTAGCAAGGAACTCACTTAGTCTGTTATACCACATTTTCCCCGATTGCTTAAGACCATATAATGATCTTTGAAGCCTAACAGAATAGACGTCCCGAGGTCTATCTGCTATCTCTGGTGGAATTTTATATCCTTCAGGGAGTTTCATATAGATATCTTTATCTATATTGCCATATAGATATGCAGTCACAACGTCCATGAGCTGCATTTCTAGGCCTTCCAGAGATGAGAGGCTTATTAGGAATCGGAAGGTATTCCCATCCATAACCGGAGAATATGTTTTTTCATAGTCTATTCCCGGTCTTTGGGAAAAACCTTGTGCTACAAGCCGTGCTTTGTAGCGCACAACCTCGTTGTGTTCATTTCTTTTTCTGATGAAGACCCACTTATATCCCACATGTTTTACACCTTTAGGTGTTTTGACTACTGGTCCAAAGACTTCGCGTTTCAAGAGTGAGTCCAGCTCTACTCCTATTACCTCGTTCCACTTTGGCCAATCATCTCTGCGTTTACATTCTGCTAGAGACCGTGGTTCGATGTCATCGTCGTATTCAGTGACGTGAACGACAATATCGAACGCAAAGTCGTCGTCGACGACTGTGCTTTTTCTGTCTAGTACCTCCTCAGTACGTACAAAATTTAATGATGTTTCTCCTATTTGTTCCTCTTCAGGGGAATCTAGGAGTGGAGAGGAAGCTGGTCTGAGCTCAGTATCCTGTGTTGGGTTCATCTTTATTTCTCCAGGATTTTTTCTTTTATGAGGGACTTTGTCCTTCGAACCTGGTGGGCGTCCTCTTTTCAATTGAGGTACAACCGTTTCTACTGCCGGCGGATTGCATCCATCTTTGGGGATGTCAATCCTAGCTGGCATGTTGACAGCATGGACGTGTGATCTGATAATCTTCTGGTTATCAGTGAATTTATCCGGAAGTAAATGTACTGTATTCTGAAGATGAAGAATCTTCAGGATCTCATCTTCACATTGACTAGTACGCGGATCATAATGAGACAAAGTCTTGGTGTTCCAAGAAATGGTCTTAGAAGCATCAGGCTTCCTGGACTGTGTGCCAAGTTTAGGAAATGAATCCTCAACAAATTCACAATCATCAAGACGTGCTTTAAATGCGTCACCCGTCTGGGGTTCAATGTATCTTATTATAGAGGGCGAATCAAACCCTATATAGATACCCAAACGACGCTGTGGATCCATTTTGGTCCTTTGTGGAGGAGCAATTGGGACGTAAACTGCACAACCAAACACTCTCAAATGTGAGATATTCGGAGGTGCACC